CCCCCCCCCAGGCAGCTCCAGAGATTTCTAGGAAGTCACTCTGAGTGTCCTGTGGAGACAAAGAAAAGGGGCAGCAACCCAGAATGGACAGAATGAAAAACAGGAGGTGTTGGGATCCTCTAAAAGCATATACTGGATAAAACACTAAAAAGTTTGTGCCTTCCCTTTAGGCGTCTGTGCACAGCATGTTCTGCCTTCTTAAGTGAGCTCTACTCCCTTGTCAACCACCATCCTCTTGCTGCTTCCAGCATCAAGACTTGAATATGCCTCAGCCTCCAGAGCGGGCTATTAAAAACACAAACACAAGTCTGTGAGACAGCTCAATGGGTTTGGCAAAAGGCATTTACCACACAAGCCTGGCAGGCTGAGTCTGACCTCTGGAAGCCATGTAAAAATGCAAGGAGAGAACTGACTTCATAAACTTGTCATTCTCTGACCTCCATACTGGCAACATGGCACACATGTCTTCACACACATAATAATAATAATAATAATAATAATAAGAAGAAGAAGAAGAAGAAGAAGAAGAAGAAGAAGAGAAGAAGAAAAAGAAGTAAAAACTTAAACATGACAGATACGTACTGCTGCCTTTTGTGTTCAGCTCCACGGAACTTTTCCTGGACTATGAAGGTGCAGCTCAGCTTCCCTCGCCCTGCCTTGCTCCTGAATTTGGCCAGCTCCACACTTTTTAAAATCTAGCTCCTGGAAGACCTCCCTAACCCACACCCAAGATCCCCTTAGCCCACTGTTCTTATCCTACATTCCTGTGGCTGTGAATAGAGACTTTGCTTTTCATACTTTGTGATCCAGCCTGCAAGATTCTGCCTGGCCACACTAGGAAACACAGTGTACAGATCGAGAATTGGACAACTGTTATTTTCTGAGTCAGATGAGCTACAACCAAGGGGGTGGGGATGGAGTGATGGTCATTATTCACAATGGAATGTCACTCAAATAAGTTTATCAGAGGTGATCCATTGTAAGTCAAGGTACATCTGTATTTGCTCTTTTAAATTATTAAGCCAGGCAGTAATGGCACAAGCCTGTGATCCCAGAACTTGGGAGGCAGAGGCAGTTAGATGTCTGAGTTAGAGGCCAGCCTGGTCTACAGAGTGAATTCCAGGACAGCCACGGCATCAGATTCTCAAAACAGAGTTACAGCCAGTTGTGAGGGGCCAAATGGGTGCTAGGAGTTCAACCCAGGTTCTCTGGAAGAGCAGCCAGTTCTCTTAACCACTAAGCTTGTTCTTAAGCTCCTATATTTACTTTTCAAATAACAACAACAAAAACCCAACTTTGAAAGCTTTCAAACAGATTACAAGAAATCGATTCTATAGTTTTTTTTTCTCGGTATGAAAAATGAGTGACACCTGAAGTACACCTATGGGCTGCATACAAGCACATCATACACACATACACATTACATGGGAACTGGTGAAAATGACTTTGGACATCTACTAGAAACCAAAACTTAAGCTCAGGGTTGGGAATGCAGATTAGACGAGCAATGCTCCTATAGTTTAACTGCCAAAATGAAGTGTGACAAGACACCATAACAAGTAAGATAGCAAATTCATTTTGCAATGAATGCTGAACATCTTACTGAACATCTGCCATGTATCAGATAGTATTGTAGGCAGTTAAAAAGACCCAAACAGATGTACACACATACCCCATGGATCCAAATGGCTATAACAAGCATAGTATCTAATACACTCTGATCCTAGATAACTCTGATCTAACAGTCTGATAAATCAAGTACTGACTTGATCCATTTGGTGAAACTGACCTGGTGAGTTAGAAATTTCTCCCGAGGGCACCCGGGTAATAGCTGGGACCTAGGCAGTCTAATGTGAGGGTTATATTTGTATCTCCTGTGCCTAGCTGGTCCTCTCGGAGCTCAGAGGAAGGGGTCTGAGCTGAGCTGAGTAGAGGACTGTGGGAGCTCTAAGGGCCAGCCCCATGTTGGGTTTCACTCTCCACCTGGTATAGACAAACAAGGCTTGGCAGATCTGCTCCATTTGGAACCCAAAGGATCTGAAGCAAGAGCTTGATGTAGGTACATTTCTGGAGGGAAGGCAGATAACATTGATGGGCTACATTTGCTGAAGGGAGAGAAGATCAACATAACTGGGCAGGACCTGAAGCTCTTGAGCTAGTGAACAGCACTAGTGATGAAGGAGGGACACATTGCCCAGATTACTAACACATAGAAAGCAACAGGATTTGTCAGGAACTTGAAGGAAGGGTTAAGGGAGAGGGACAAGATGGAGAGTTGGGCTCCAGCCATCCCCAGATGCTGGGAAAAAGCAGAAAGTGAATCTGGCTGCCATGAGTTGGGCAGTCTGTACAAGGATGTGTGGAGAGACATTTCCAGGCAAAAAAAAAAAAAAAAAAAACAGCCTACAAGGGCGCAAAAGGGCAAGAGAAAGGCAAACAGAATGAAGCATTTAGAGTGTGTGTTTGTGTGCAAAGGCAGGAGCAGGGTGAGAACAGCGATTAGCCTGAGGATTGAAAGTTCTGGCCTAATGTACTATAATGAGATCCTTTGTGTGTGTATCTTAGCAAAATCAAAAGGGGAAAAAGTAAAATGTCCAAATATGTGTGATAGGCAAGATAGGTTTCCAGGTTTGTGGGGAGGTCTTACAGTTGGGGAGCAAGATGGGGAGAAAAGTCGGGCAAGTCAAGGGGCTGTGGCAATAATCTTGATGAAGACTGGCCAGGTCATGTTAAGTTGTGCCACAGCCCTGGGCTGTTCTTGCACCAGTTTTCCAGGACAGATCTCCAGGGCTCACTGACTAGTGAGAAACAGAGAAGAGCAGAGGTTCCCAGATCAGCCCCTGAGCCCTAAATGTGTCTTCCTGGTTGGTAATCACTACACAGGATCAGAGCCAAGCAGGCATTCGGTTAAGCACCTTGAACTTGATAAAATAACATCATGGGCCCGAGTAGTCTCTGAACAACCCCAGATGTATGGCTTCATTTTTAATGAGATTATAGAAATGTCAGCAATATCAAAATAACCCAAGGATTCTTGCCCTATGGGCAGGCATGCCTCCTTTCAGCATCACTTGGGAGCCATCCCTGGAATCCATCCCCAAACTCATAAGGACAATTTACATATGTGAACATTTAAGCGCCTGCTCTTCACATCTACCTCAGATCTGTCAGTTTCCACCTAGATGCTGGCTTGAATCTTAATCTCCAACCCACATCAGTCTCTAAGGCTTTAGCTCTTGAACCAATTAAGATCATAGTTTGCTACAAATGACAGAAAAATAGTTCCAGCATCTTAACTAAAAAAAGAATTTTTTTTTTTCCTCAATGAGTAGAGAGTCCAAGTTCCTACCTCAGCTGCCCAATGAAGAAAGTCTTCTTGCTCTTACTACAGGGCTTTCGGCCCCATACAGAATAGCTACTGCTTGCCCAAGTATCCAACTGTGATCCAGCAGGAGGAAGGAAGGGCAAAGACAAGGGCAAAGGGCATATACCAAGGTGGACCTGTCCTTTGTTATCAGGAAAACAATATCCCTTCCAGAACCTTTACCCAGGGATATCCATTTAGAAATTTTTGATCAGAAGCAACCATTTGAGAGCTCAGAGACAATGACAGAGAATCTGGGAAGACTGGCCGAAGAGTCTAGGAGAGAGTTTGGACAGCGTTGTCACCCCAAACAAAACTGACTTCTGTTAGGAAAGAACTCATCCAAATGGCCTCTTGAGCAGTCCCGTCGACTGTTTCACAAGGATCTCAAATTCAGTGTTTTAAAACTGATCCCACCGTGTCCCCCAGCGCACTGGCTTCTCTGCTGGTGGTTTCGTTACTGTGGGAATGAATGCAGAACCATTGTCCCAGTTTGCTGAAGAAAGAAGGTATGATTGACAGCCAGTTCCCTCATCCTGTAACACCCTATCAGAATTTAGTTCCTGTGGATTCCCTCTCTGCCCCCTCCCCACTCCCCTTCAGCCTTGTCTCAGTGCAGGCCTTCATTGCCTATGCTCTAACATCCCTGAAGAAAGTCTTGTCTTGTCCCATCTCACAATCTGCCAGAGAACCTGTTCCTAAACTCAAAACTATCACCATCCCTCTCCAAGTAATAGCTATGATTTTCCATGACCTATAGAATAAAGTCCAAACATCCTGACATTATCTTCAAGGCTCTTTGTCACCTGGCTCCAGCCACCTCTTAGATCTTCTCATCACATTTCTAAAATATTCTCTCTCCCTTTAAGAAGATCTCTTGGTCTCCTCTTGTTCCTGGGCATGCTTTCTGGGGAAACTCTCCCTGATCCTTCTGTAACATCTCTCTTTGCACTATGATCATCTGTCTCCTGTGGTCCTCATCAAAACTGATCACCTGCCCTCAAACTACCCAGCAGAATTACTAGTTTGTACTAGTTCACAAACCTGAAGAAGCAAACTGTCCCACAGTGTATGCTTTGAGCAAGCAACATGAGTCATTGTGAGACAGATGGTCTGCAGA